TCTCGGCAGCCGGCAGGCCTCTTGCGGCCTCTCTGTGGCCTGTCCGAAGCCTGCCTCCTCTCTTCTTATGGGCTTCCGAAGGCAACGTTAGGCATTTTGGCTCGGCTTCAAACGCTCCCCAGAGCCTCACCGCAGCCTTGCCCTCTTCTCGGCAGCTGGTTGAATGCCAGCATTGGTGTGAAGCCCATCCAAGTCTCGCTGTTGAATCCCAGGAAGTTGTCAAGGTTCAACCGCCAAACCCTCGAGATGAAAAGGGGTCGGCGGCACCCGGGCGGAGCCCTTACAATATACTTTATGTAGATTCTGACTCCACACTAAGCTATGCCAGACCCTTGTGATGACTTAATCGCTGTCATCTACATTTGATGGGTAGGCAGGGCCATCCTGAGAATTGAAGCTAGCTGCTAGCTAGCTGTCCTGAAGCTTACATCCATCCCTGATTGAACATTCAGGATGCTCCATGCAACTGAATAAGCTGCGACTTTCCCATAAGCAGCAAGCACTCGCAATGCTCGAGGTGTCTGATTCGCCGTCCAAGTCTGCCAGCGCTCGCTGCACTGGCCCTGGCATTGAAGCTATTACCAAGATAATTGCAAACATTCAGAAACTAATTCATATTGTGAGCAGGGACTGTGTGGTCAAATCATGTCAAATCGATGTTTGGGACAATATATCCGAATATATATATATATATCCTATGATGACATCCTATGTAAATCAAAGCCCACTACACAAAGATCATCCAAAAAAAAAAACTCTTGGAGTAGAGCTGCAGAACTGCCTGAATCCTTTGATCCAGTTGAGCTTCCACCTTCGGACCTGACAAATCCAAGAAGCACGGGCCGCGCTTGGACCCGGCCGGGCCAAGGCCCGAGCGGCTGTAAGATCCGACGCACTGTGCCACTCGCTTGCCTCGGGCGAACCGCGGGGCGAACGGGCTACGCGGTGGCCGGTAGTGGGGTGTGTATGGGTGTGTCTGGCAAGAGGGATACACCTCCATGGATGAATGATGATGAATATGTTGCTTGGAACAAGAACACCAATACATACCAATATTGTATACTTCAAATGCCACGTGACTTCGTTGAGGTCTGTGAGCTCGCAAGCTCGGGCTGAAACGAGCTCGAATCCACACTGCCCTCATCGTTGCTGACGGAGGTCGAATCCTTACAAAGCTAATTGGGCACAGTGGCAAACAGCTGACTCACTTCACCTTCTTCGTATCCACGACTTCCATTCAAAGTGTTCTGAGGAGTATGTACAGTAAGTGGGCATGCAGCATAAACAACTGCAAGGAGCCAGAGGCTTGGGTTGGCGTACATGGTTCACTTGGCAAGTTCTCATCATCTCAACTTTGCATGCGAATGTGAACTGCAGAGTTGAAGCACTATGACCCCTGCCAAATCACCAAGGATACGAGTGCAATCTTCGGAGCTGCCTGGGGAGATCTTGGGTGCTCCGGCGAACTTGGCATCATAATGCATCACTTCGCACGCCTTGAAACCGCGAGCTCCCCATAGGCCTCACTGTCGCTGCCGCTGACGAGAGCCAGTCCTAGAATAAATAGTAACCAATGCGGAGAGTGCTTCAGAATTCCAGAGAGCCGCCCTACACGGGCTCACTTGCCGTACCAAATGTTAGTTAGCGCAATGAAAAAGTGGAAATTATATGAAATGATGGGGAAACACCTGCAACTCACGACCGGGCAGCCCGACACACTGAAATCATGAGGCGGCCTGCAACAGAATGGCTGGGGGCAGCAGAATGTCTGGGTGTTCAACATGCACCGGTGAATCAGCTCGCACACACCTCTCTCCTAACTCATTGATGATGGGTTGGCCACATCACAACCGGTCGCGATGAACTATCAACGTGTCTTCAGCAAACAAAATGATTTAAGCACGTGAAACATTGAAAGGAACAAGGTTGTTGTGATCATTGCGATCGGATATCTATCTCTCTGCTCCGAACACAATAGGCACGGTGCGAAGTGGCTCACCTCTCTGGTCTCTCCTAATTTTCTTCCCCACAAGGGGCCTGGTGGCAAGAAACGGGAAAGGCGCACCTGTTGAGCATGCTGGTGAAAAGCTCGCCCTCTTTGAGTCGCAGCCGGCGTTCCAACACCTCCAAAGGTTCTTTTGCTGCATCAGCGATTCGCAGAAAAGCATGGCAAGTAAGGTGGAGATTGAGTGATCAAGACCTCGTGACTTGAGTTTTTGGGCGATCAAGGCGATCACGTCACCCAACCACCAACCTGTTGACCAATGGAATGCTCCAAGGCTCCTAACACCGAGTTGCCAAGGCACAATGGGACCGAGCTGGGAAATCATCAACGCTGTCAAAGCTCCCTGCCAAGGCGCTGCGGCGTGGGGAAGCTCAAGATGTGACCCAAACGTCCATGACTCACGTGGCAAGTCTCAAAGGTGTTTGATCAGTAGCGTCCTTGCTCCTAGTAGTGCGGCCAGGAGCCCCTAGTAGCATTCTTGCTTCTAGTAGCGATGCCAGGAGCCCTAGGGCCCTAGAAGCTTCTTTGTTTGCAAGTCTCAACCCAAATATCTCGCGTTTCTCCAAATGTCTCGCGTTTCTCCAAGGGAGATGTGGGACCATGACGATCATTCCATGTCAGGAACAAATGTGATGCGCGACCACGTATATATCCATCAGTCTCGCAAGCTTCAAATCTACTCGTGACACCTGAAATGGTGCGGGCTTGGCG